TCCCAAAGGCCAAAGCAAAGGGTCACGCTGGCAAGAACGGCAAGTCCGATGGTGCCAACGACAGAGGCAAGAGTCCGAGCGGAAACGATGTCCATCCTTACTGCTCGAGGCCTCCCGAATCTCCAGCTTCTTGAGTGCCCTGAGTTCCTCATTATCCGCATCGAGCTGACGAACGAAACTCTCTTCTTGTTTGAGCGTCGCCTCCCGATCCTTCAGTTGTCCCTGAAGTTTGCGCATCTCCTCGAGGTACTCATCATACACCCCTTTAGCTGTCAACCTCCAGTACTCGGCCTCCTTCGATTTCTCGTCCATCGTGCACCGTTCTTCTTGTTTTGCTTCTCTGACCTGGGCCAATTCCATGATTGCATCCTGACGATGACCACCCTCGATAGCAATCATCTGGTCCTTCTTCGACACGTCGGATTCATACTGTCTGACGATCTCTTCCTTGTCGCGAAGCAAGCATTCCGCTCTCTTTGATTCTTGCTCCGCGAATGTTGTAACGTCATTCAGTCTCGTCATCAGCTGCTCCCTGGTGCCCTCCATCGAGTACATCTCGGGGCGTTTGACGAGTGCGTGTTCCAACTGTGATTTCAGGCTTTGAACCATCTCCTCTTCGTTGAACTCTTCTCGATAGATGTAGACGACTCAATACCTCTGATCTGTTGTTGGTAAACTGAAATCTGTTGTGAAGCTTCACGGTGTATCTGATTTGCATGTATAGCTCATTCCTGTGCGGCCGTCTTCTCGCTTGCCATATAGGATCTCATCACTGCAATCTCCCGCTTCTGCTCCATAATAGTTCCCTCAGCTTGTCTCATCTGTTGCATGATAGCATTCGACTCCATGTCCTTCTTTTCCCCGTATTGATATGCGTTCATTTCCACCTTGCGCATCTGTTGTGCTTCCTCCTCAAACTTGCGCCAGGCTTCCGCCATGTGGTGTTGGTGATGACTCACAAGATGTCCCGACTGCTTGCTAGCAATCTCACATCGTCTCTCCAGCTATTGGATCCGGACGGTGCTCCCATAGTCTTCTTGATGAAGATTCGCCATTGCAGCCGACATTTCATCAAGTGTCTTCTGATACTCCCCGATCTCCATCTCCATCTTGTTCTTTTCTTTAATCGCGGCGCGAAACTCGGCACTCGTGGGTGATTTGGATCTCCCACCTTTCGATGTCGACCTCACGCCCTTCTGCAACTTCCGTGGTGTCGCTGGCGAAGATGATGATCTTCTTGGCGGAGACTCTCTTTTGCTTCGACTCCTGATGAATAGCGATCTGTTTCCATGACCTAGTGGGTGTGGATATGTCGCTGAATAGTGCGGACCCTCCGCTCCCAGGTTCGTCCTGCGAATCTGCGACCAAATCCATCACCGCAGGAAGAGCCATCAATCCATTGGATCCCTCTGAGCTGTCGTTCCCAAAAGTTGCAGTACTTGGGCTTGCTGAAGATGCCATTGTACCGTGTAAGTTATTGTTCCTTTATAGTTGCAATAAACCAGCTGTCTCTCCGTCCAGTGTAGAGCTTGTGATTACGGCTGATAACCTGTCAAGAGATGGCAAGATGACGTCCCGTGGGACGCTGTTCACCGAACCCTCCAGCTGTGTGTACTCAACCACGTAGAAAGGTGTATACGGTCAAACCGTTATAGCCAAACCAGTGCAAATTGTTGTAAGGGTAAAGACCAAGAACCACGGTGGTAATCCCTGCAGCAGCAGCGCGAGTGATGCTGTTTTCACTCTCTCAGACCGATCACAGACGAACGTAGTTCATGCAAGACCTTGAGCCCTACTTGTGACTTGAGCCAAATCTGGCGTCCAATGGAACATCATAACCAACAAGAACATGGACCTCAGAACAGCTTCCCAATTTAGGCACGGGGCCAGGAGGGTTTTAACAGTGACCGTCTTCTGTCCTGTAGTATCCGCCAGGCCTTTCTGCCACCGCGATCCACCGCCACCAAGTTCGGCTTTGATCCTTCCAGGTAGAACTCCTCCTCCTGACGAACCTTCCTCCGGTGCTGCTGCACCATGCCCGTGGCGTTCACACACTCCTCGCACCAGCTCCTATAGACCGCATGTCCGCTGGCTTCGTGTTCTCTCCTCTCCCTCGCCGTTGGCATCGGCGGGGTCCATCTGGGTTTACAGCCCTGGCTTCTACCGATTCCTCGGGAGCGGCGGGCCCACGAGGTGGTTCCTCCTCCAGCGCCCACACAGCGCTTCCTTCGTCTTGCCTCCAAAGCCACGGCGGTCGATCGCCCCAGCACGTGAGTTGGGAGTTGCACCCAAGCTCCAGGTTCCGAGCTTGCTGCACCTTCATCCGTTTCCGGATCCATCTCCAGGTAGAAGTTGAGGCCCTTGTCGTCGTGCCTGCTCATTGCTCTCTCGTAGGTCCGCTCCATCTCCTTGCACACCGGGTGGTCCAAGGGCATGATCATGCCGCCGCCCTTGAACATCCACGCGCAGCGCCCTTTTGCGTGCAGCTTGCCCGCGCTCACCAGCACCTTGCGCACGTCGGTCGCATTGCCGTTGATGCTCCTCTTCACTCCACCAACGTCGTATCCAACCACTCCGACCGGCCCATATTTCCTGATCAACTCCCCGCTCGCCGTCTTGAACGAGTTGGACTTCTCCTGCGGGTTCTCATGATACTTCCTGGGCACGGCCGTGATCGAAGCGCCCGTGTCGAAGTTGCACTTCAACCAAGTCCCACTGCTGGCTGGCGCCGCTTGGGACCTCATCCTTCTCGCAAACAACCCAACCTTCTTCCTTCTGTCCGCAGTCAGGGCGCACAGCTCGAGGGTGTTGGCTTCTCAGACAGGTTCCCCCTGATCTTCCAATGTCCCAGCGTCCTTGCCCTTGGAGCGGCCCTTCGGGCTCTTTGGGCTTGCATTAGATGACGCTCCTCCTCCAGCACCCCAGCAATCCTTCTTCCGGTGTCCTGGCTTCCCGCAATTGTGGCAGTTGCCCTCAAACTTCTTCGGGGAGCCTTTGCCGGCGCCAGGGGACTTGCCACCTTTTCCACCTCCGGTAGTAGGCTTCGACCAGCAGTTCTTTTTCCGGGCCTTTCTTTCCACAGTTATCGCACACGTCCCCTCGAACCTGACGCCACCTTTACCGCCTCCTTTGCCACCCTTGCCCTTGCCCTTCACCAAGGACGCAAGGTTGCCCGACACCGCCTTCACCAGCGAGTCCACATCCATAGGAACCGCATCACCTCCGCCAGTGTTCTTGCTGAAGTTGCTGCTCACCGCCATCTTGCTCCCAGTCTTCGCCTCCATGAAGGTCACCACCTCTGCCTCCATCTCCTCAAAGTTCTTGAACCTGGAGAAGTTCAACAGCAAGTGCATCTCCATCTCCTCCGGGACCAATTTTTCTAATGCATTCATAGCGAGCGAGTCGGGCAAGTCTTCGCGGCGCCCGAATTGATCCTTCTTCTTATTGTAGCGGCCTCTCAAGGCCTTCCATCTTTCTATTGCTGCTCCGAGGTTCTCGTAGCTGGCTCTCTCCGGGCTTGTCAAAGCTTGGAGCATGATCCGCTTGCGCCCACGCGTCGCCGGGTCATACTTCTTGTGGAGCACCTCCAGTCCAGCACCCATCGGCGCATTCCCGATGATGTCGAAGGCCACTCCCTCCATCGTCGACCTCAGGACAGTGTAGAGCTGATGATCAAACTCCGCGACCTCGTCCCACTGCTCCGTGAGATCCGCCGCCAGCCCATACGTCGCATCCACCTCGTGCTCCGTGATTGCCAGCTCGCTCCCGGCCGCCCATTCCAATACCTCTCGCGCCTTCCCACCAAGCTTCACCGCCCAGACCCGAAACCTCGCCTCTGCATCTTCACCCAAGATCTGGGGCTTACCAAGCCCTTTCTGGTCGATCAGGCCTCGACCCTCTCTGCTCATCTTCTCCAACGCCTCCGGCAGCTTCTGCAGCGCCGCGATCACCTCCAAAGACCCAGCGCTCCCGGTGCCCCCTGTCGGGCCTTGCTCAGCGGCTTGGATCCGGTCCCGCAGCTGCTGGTTCTCCGCCTGCACCACCTGCAGTTGCTGCTGCACCTGTTTGAGGCCATTCACAATCTGCTCCATCTCCGTCATCGAGGGCCAGCCCGATCACCACGTGGTGGCCGTCCACCGCGTAGAGCACCAAAGCCGCGAGGGCGGTCAGCCACCTCCAGCAGCGCCAGCTCCTCTTGGCTCTGGCCCCAAGCACCACCTCCTTCTTGTCCGCCACCTGGCCCCGTTCTCCCGCCGGGCCTCGCTGTGGCTCGCTCCACGGCGCTCTCCTCCTCCTGTTGGGGATCACCCTCGGAGTCCTCCTCCTGTTGTTGGTGTCCTGAATCGTGCCGTAGAGCTCCGCTACCATGCAGACATGGCTTGTAGCGGCAGATTGTTCTTTTGCCCAGATGGCTGCGCAACGTGCTCAAAGTCTGCATGCCTGCTTTCTTGACTTCAAGAAATGTGCTAGGGTTTGGCGCGGGTCGCGTTTGCCGCGGGTCACGCTTGCCGGCGCTCAAGGCTTGCGCCAAACACGCTTCGAAGCATCGTCACAGCGGGCGCGCGCCTGCCTCTCTTGGCACACTGGGGCTCTCCAGGTCGGACCGCTTCGTGCGCACAAGCTACGGGCAGGTGCTGAGTATCCGAAGGAGTTTGGTGTTCCATTTGTGACGACAACACCAATCGAGCGGATACTTGTTCCACCTTCAACCACTCATCCTTCCCCGACGAGAGACAAACCCCATAAATGCCTTCACCGTTTTGGCAAATGCTTGGAACGTTTTACCGCGCTCTTTGGTTCCATGCTTAGTGCCTTAGAGTATGTAGGGGCGCATTGTTTACGCAATTAGGAGTCCTGACAGCCCGGAAACATCTGATATATATATATATACATATATCAGAATGCCCACAACGGAACCCTTCCCGATTTGATCGTTGGTCCCCAAAAAGGACAGTCTGGGATGGTCGCCCAACATGAGTCCTCCAGTCTGGGGCTCCCGCTGCCTCTGAAAGCAGCGCAAGCAGCGGCACAAGAAGCAGCGCCATCAAGAATCATATTCGCTATATGGATGGGAGTAGAACTGAGCCAAAACAAAATCGCATCCGGGCTGCAAGTCACTCTCATTTCCTCGAAGCCTCCCTCAGGGTTTTCAGCAGTGTGACAGTGTTTGAAATTTACCAGTTTCCCCGTCACTGGAGCTTTGGGTTTAGACCCTGAAACCACCAAAGGATAACCCTGCGCAACCCCACACGGGTACGCACACAAGCACAACAGACTGTCGACTGAAACGTTGCACCTCTCAAAAAATTTGCTCTGAGCTACTCTGAAGTATTGTTGCTGCGATCTCCGCAATCATCTTGATCCGGGAAACTTTGGTGGAACACAACCCAACCGCACGGAGAGGTATGCTTACCTACATACTGGAGGGTTCCGTAACCACATGTCCATGAGTTTTACGTGATTGGTCGTTGTGGTTTTAGGCAATTTACAGACACCCAAGGCAGAATCCTACAGCTTGACAGATCACAAACTGCAAGAAAACCCTCAGCGGGGGACGAACAATGCAAACAGACCAAGCAAGATTGCGAGCGGTTCGGAAAATGATCAGTGGATGAAGCGGGAAGGGCACAGTGAGGAGGCCCCAGTGCAACACAGCCCTATCCGCACTTGGTTGAGAATGAAGGAGAACAACTGCGGAGAACAGGTGCTCGAAGAGGCTAGCCTCGCCCCAGTCCGGCATACCGGGCAGCCCCAATTTAACCAGGAGAACAAGACGACGAACTTCGTCAACCGGAATGAGGCTCCACTCAATACCAGCAGAAGCCCTGCTATCCAGCCTTGCGTCAAAAGGCTGCCGGCGGCATTTGCATCCTCGACAGCGCCATCTGTGGCGACTTCCAGAGGCACGCGAACTGCTTGGTACGCTTTGAGGCTGGCGAAGCCGATGTATGGACGAGCCGATGCACCAAGGCAATAATTCATCGTTGCAAGGCTCTTCTAGTCTCTATGATTGGACGGCGTGTCGAAGATCTACCTGGAGGTGGAGACAGCGACAGGCACTGGTGCGACTTCCGAGCGGATGGGGCCTCAAGTTTGCGGGCGTGAACTATCCCATCATGATCAAGGATGGCAACTTCAACAGAAGGCGTATGTCCACCTGATCACTGTCACAGGCAACCATCCGAGTGTCGCAGGCATCCCTCGACGCAGAAAGCCAAGGATGCGGCGCAGCATGGACTCTTTGGAACGATTTGGTCAGCCTGCCTCAACAAAGACTACGAATCCGGAAGGCCAGACCAAGCTGAAGTCCGCGGCGCGGGTGCGAAAGCGCTGTACGACTCGACTCCATCAAGGCTGTTGCCTTGCGACTTCTTTAGGTTGCCTCAGGCTCAACATTGACGCACGCGATGGGTTTTCACTCGCGCCCGTGGATGAGCTACTGAGAACCTATTGTGTCACAAGCTCTGTCAGACGCTCAACTTGACGGACGAGCCCGACCGCGTGCGCAAGTGACGTAAGACTCGTCAAATGCACCCGGCTTGCTTCTTGTTCACAGCTTCTTCAAAAGCAGTCAGCAACCCTCAACTTAGCTTGACTTTGAACTTGTTCCCATTGTTATCCTTTATAACTTGGCTGAGCCCCTGACAGACAGTGACTTCTGAAGCAGTGGTAGACGATTCTACAATCTGGGCTGCACCGACTGAGGTTGCAGGACAGAGCAGCTCCTGCGCCTGACGGCGGCTTGTTGGGGCCAAAGGGCCAAGATGACGAAGCGGCTTCAAAGTGGCTGTCATCTAACACTCGAAAAACACTCGAAAATTATATTGGTGTCAGTCTAACAAGCTAGTAAACCTTTTGACTCCCCAGCGTGCCTGCTAACGCTCAGCACTGTTTCCGAGAAAATCAAGAAAACCAGAAAACAAGAAAACCAACAGAACCAGGAAAACCGAAAACAGAAAACCGGAAACCAGAAAACTATAAAAACCAAGAGAACCAGAAAACCAGGAAACCTGCAAACAAGAAAACCAAGAGAACCAGAAAAACGAAATCGGAAATCAGAAATCAGAGAACCAGAAAACCAGCAAGCCAAGAGAACCACAGAACCAGAAAACCAGGAAACCAGGAAAGCGGGAAACCAGGAAACAAGGAAACCAAAAAACCAGGAAACCAGGAAACCAGGAAACCTGAAAACCAGAAAAACCGAAAACCAGAAAAACCGAAAACCGGAAAAACAAGAGCGCTTTGTTGAAAGCCTTCTTTTGAGGTCTTGAGAAGCAACATTGGGGCTTTGTGAGACCAATGTTGCCCTGAGAGGCTACATTTGAAAAGGTGAGTTCAACAAGCTCGACAAATGCATGTTCGACATCTATCCGGGAATCAAATCACGTTAAGTCACACCAAATCACGGTCGCAGATGGATGTACCACAGAATTGGCATACGTTGGGCCCAAATGTACATCAAAAATGGCATGCACTCAGTCAGGCTGAAATGCGCCAAGGTGCTGGCTTCCGACAAGTCACGGAATCCAACAAACCGAATGTTGTAATATATACCTACATTCGAATGTTGCTCTGAGAGGCCTACAAGTGAATGTTAGTAAATATGACCAACAGGAGACTACGGGGGACTGCGGGGGACTACGGGGTCCAGATACGTTGTCCCGATGCGTTTCCCCGGGAAAACGCACGCGGGAAGACTGCGGGAAGACTGCGGGAAGACGACGGGGGGACCGCAAGGTGCCGGGGGTCCGGATGCCGGTCCTTCTCCCGTAGTCTTGTGTCAATTATCGTGATGATCATGCAATGTAAATAATTTAAATGAACTCTCACTTAAACCTACCAATTCAAATAGTTGAGAGCAAAGTGTTGCGTAAATCTACTAAAATTAGAAATCTGGTCAAGACTCTGGATTGACACCACCATTTATCCACATTCAAACGTTTAAGAAATATTCCAGGCCCTGGCCAACACACGCGATTTTCTTTACATACCGATCGACCGTACTTGCATGATGCCGGCTGCGCGCGGAATGTCCGGGAACCTCTCAAACAACTGCGGATGAAAATGCTGGTGTTGACCCTGGATGAATCATTACCTCATTGATTTATCATGAATGGAGGGTTCGACTCAATTTAAAAGACCCCCTTCACATCTTGGGGAAAACACCCCCAATGATTCACGAAGACTGAATCCACGTTGGGCCAAACGAGTGTTGCATAGCACAGTGGCTGCGGGAAAAGCAAGAGAGCCAGTTGTCTGCTGATTTTTCTGAGGAGCCACTCCAATCAAAGAAGCCATGAGTGAAACAAGCGGAAAAAGGCCAATCAAGCACGTCGGCTAACACATCGTTCAGCTCTATTTTGCCGAGCGGCGCTTGCGTCCAAGCCGTCTTCAGACAGGCTCTCTACGAGCACTGGACACATTCTGGAGAGTCCTCAAAGGAATGTAGATGTTACAGGTACTTACACCGGCCCCCCCTCACGTGTTCTGATTGTTTGAAGGTTTCCGACACACCAGCCGGATGCCTTCAAAACAAACAGGCATCCGACTGAAGGAAACATCCTTTGTATTCAACAGTTGTCTGGCAACTGGGAGACAATATGTTTAGCGCACAGCTCTGCAGTTTGTCAAACATGGCTGCAAACATGATCCTATAGGCGCAAAAAGCGGTTGATTACAGTCGGATTATGAGGAGACTAGCGCACACGAGCGCCCAATTCGCTTGACAATGCGGGTTACAGCCTGTTGTTTCTGTGAGAGTCCGCAGTTGCGAACAGAACAACGCATTCAATCGCCTGGGAAAGGGTGGAACATGTGGAACACGTCGGCCACTCGTAGTGCGAAGCACACGCCAGCATCCCTATGGCCGTGTTATGCAGCCATGTTGGCGGTGTTCATTCCCGGACCCAAAGGACCCAGTGCCCTTGCTTTGTTCACATGCCTCCGGAGGAAAACACACTACGCGAGCACTCCTAATGATTTAGAGTGACCGGGGCGAGTCCTACAAGGAGCCAGCGACACTGCAGCCATAGCCCTTGGGGCCTTCACCGGTCAGGTCTCTGGGCCCATCGCAAAGGACCTTGTCCGCCAAGGTGTGATCACCTGAAAGCTGTGGGTACCGAACACAGGGGTGAGTGAACCACCAAGCAAAGTTGTGAAACCCACTTTCGTTTCAGCTTCTTGTGGCAACTAGTATAGTTGCCATTTCGCGTGGACCAGTATTGTTTGAACCAAGTTAGTTAAGCGTTTATTGCACGAAATTGGATTGAGCTTCTTCAACCCATATTGAATTGTAATCTGGGTCCACGATGGTACAACTCCTCATGGTTGTTGCAGTTCTGTAAAACATGGGATCGGGGTGTCTTGAGACCGAGGTTGGTTCTGAGTTCGGGTTCGGGTCGGTTGAGAGTTGAAGGGTTGATTTATTGTTTCAGGTATTGGAATCTTTTGGATGTAGGCTTAGGGTGGCACTCGTAATTGAACTCAGGCAGGTTTAGGCTTCAGGGTGGGCTTCGGCTGAGTTCTGTTTGGTTGGAGGTGGGTTTAGGGTGGATTGAGGGTTGGTTCTGGATTGTGCTTCGGTTTGTTTGGGCTGTGTGACAAGAGCTAGTGTTGGTTGTGGCCGCGAAGCCATTTAGCTGTCAAAGAGCTCCGGCTCAAAGCTGAAGAGTCCTTCTTCGGGATTTGTTGGTGCTTCTATTGGCGCCATTTTGCACCAAACCCTGTACCAAATCCCTAACGGAGATCCTGCGAAACATAAATATAAACTTGTTCCAAAAAATTGATGAGTTGGATTTGGAGAAGCAAGCACTCACATGCTCGCACCTCTCCTGCTCCTTGCCAGACCAATCGGCCGTTCAGATTCGAGTTTGCACCGGGAAACACAAAGAACATTCCGAACTCATGTGTTGTGGAAGCAACGAAACACACTCGACCCATACCAAATCCGGGTCCCATCTTCCGTTAAAGCCTTAGTTTTGGGTTTCCAGGGTCCCGACCCATGAAGTGCAACACCTCGAGGCGCTCGTCCTGCGGAAAAGAAAAAGACCGGCGCAACAAACAAATGAGTGCCGCCTTTTTTGATATATTATTGGGGGTTGGTTTAAAGGGAAACCAAAGGGAACCAACCATTTTCGGGGGGTCGCTTTTTGGAGTTTTTGCTGGCTTTGAAGGGAACCAGAAGGAAAACAACTTTTGTTTGGGTCCCCTGACAAAAGACAACCAAATGACGAAACACTAAGACCAAAGCCCTGAAATATAAGCCAAATTTCTGGCAAAATATGAAGGTCCCGCTGTGCGAACCTTGCGACGCGAACGGTCCTGGAGGCCCTTTTCCTGCATGGACTCATCGCTCACACCCTCCCCGCAGTGCTCCACGGTGCAGCCGCCCCGGTTGTAGGAGATACCACTCCTGGGGACTCACTTATCAAGCACAACTCCACTTTTTGCAAGGGCTCTGTTGTTGTTTTTCTATATATGTTTTTTCTCGCTCTCTCTCTCATTAAGTTCGGTGAAATGGGGTTGGAGCCCCTTGAGGCGAGGGTGTCTACATCAAACACGTGGGCCCCTATGCTTCCTTGAAAAAGGAGCACATGGGAAACATCACTGGATCCCCTTCGCTGTCATTGTGGAAACTGAGTGAGTGCCACGTGTCGGTCATGCACTCATTATTAGATACCAGCGATTCTGAAGGCGCGTTTTCGGCATCCAATACTAAACGATTCTAAACTCTGACACCTGCCTCCGGGTAATTGGCACGGCACGTTAGGCAGAACCATTTTCCCCAGAAACAAAGGCCTTGCAGCACGTCAGATTCATGTGGCAGGCCCTGCCTGTTGCCAGGTTGTTTCAGAACAAAGGATTCCATCCCGCTAGCTTCAGATCAACGTGGCTCTCCTGACAACTGCCTTTGGTATAAACTAGCGCGATGGGCAAACATTAAAGCAAAGACTCCTTTTACATATTCCAACCACTGCAAGTTTGATGCTTTTCGTGCCTGCAAACAACACGCCTCATCTGGATAATTCGAGTTGAAAGCTATGTTCTACCCGTGGCTAGCGAGGAAAGGCGCGCGTTTGATACCCAGCAATGTTCGCAAATGAAACCTTCCGGTACGTCAGATTAGTGTGGCAGGCCCTGCCCGTTGCCAGGTTGAATGAAAATAAGGGTTCCAACCCGCGATCTCTCCTGGGATCTGCGGGGAATCCGCACAGATATCTGCGCGCGCGGTTTCCGCGATTGGCGCCAGGGGGGCGCATTCAACATTAAAAGACAAAAGCGTCCTGTTGAATACTGCGTACTTTCAATTTTCCAGCCGTGGCCAGCCTTGTTTAGCATCCTTCCGCTTCCAACCTTCTCCGCCTTCTCTCGCAAACCATCTTCTCCCCCACAACCCGTTTAATCTGCGGGGGGGCAGGACGTTAACATTCCCGAGAATATTTGACGAACCTCATTTGGGTTCTGGGTCTGTCTCAAAAAGTTGTTGCTTTCAAAGGTAGACCAAAATGAAATAGTTGAGGGGGACGACCTCTGGTTGATTCAGACAAACGCCTGCACCTTCCATCCCTTTTACGGTCGGTTCATGGTCATGCACAAGTTGTTGGACAAAATACCGGCTCCTTCCAAAATGACTTGTTCCGAAAACGTTGTTGACAGACATCGGAGTGTCGCGTGCGCCGGCAGCTCCCCAAAGCAGGCTTCGGCCAGACACGTCTGTTGCACTTGAGTATGCTTCAAATTCTCGCAAAGCGTCGATTCAAGCAACTGCCGAGGAAATCTTTCCTCCAGAGATGTTAACAGTCTTCCTTTGATCCCGGCATACCAAAAAACGCAAACCAAACAAATATGCCAAAATAAACCCGTGCAATTTCCTTTGGGCTTCCGTTTAAACACCTGGAATGGCAGCGTGCCGAACTGATGTTGGCAAAACTTAGATCCGCAAGAAGGCTCGAAGACAGCGTATCTGCAAAAAATCCACAGGACTGTTCACCGTGGCTTCTCATCATCAGGTCCTGCTCACATCCGACACGGTCATCACGGTTTGCTTTCTTACGGACCAGCCATGTTGGAACGGAGCATTAGTCTGGCACAATTGTTCTGAGGTGAGGGTGTCTTGCCTGCATTGCTGTAGGCGTTTTTCGTTCGCTGGCGATTCCTAAGCCGAGGAAATTCCCAACGGAACACGCGTTGATTTCGAATGGAAGAAACCCCTGGAAAACGTCTTGTTCAACGTTAGTGATAGTTATCCCACGCCGAAAAGAGAACCTCGACCCACACACTCCGATCCAAACCCGGCCAAGGCGCGCAAGGATCACGTGGGCAGACAAGTTCTGAGCGGCGAGGACCTCGCATGTTTCATACAGCCCACCAATCGTTGCCTGCTTGGCCGAGATGAACGACCAGAGAGGGAGTGGTAAAAGAACGGATGGAGGCACAAAAGACGGGAGCGTGAGTGGGCTGGGGGGAAAGATGGCCCCGCTCCCCTCTCACTCACCATCCCAGTCAATCACCCATCCAGTTGCTACCCCGAGCAAAGGAATGTGGATGGGATGTGAGTGATTGGTTGGAAAGGGACATGAGATAGAGAGGGAGATGACAGAGGACACGGGAGCCAGCACTTGTGTCCGGGAAGGGCCAGCCTTTGACGGCTTCAGCTTGCGAAATGGCTTTCCGAAGCGAACTCTTCCGAAAAACGGTCTACAAAAACCTCGCTTTTGTGGCTGGCTCGGCGGTGAATTGGCCGCCCAAGCTCCAGGGTTGGGGGCTTGGCCTTGCAGCCTCTGCTTTGAATTAAAAACGCGAGATTTTAGATTCCGTCTTGCCGGCTTCGAGTTACGGACACCTGCTTGGCCCGTCCCAACCAGCCCCTTCCCCCCCACTCACTCACCCCGTCTAGGATTGACATTGTTGAGTCGTTAGGCGTGGTTTGGCATGAATTACAATCACCAGAATACTACCAGAAAACGGGTTGACACGCCATGCCCACGTTGGGGTTGGGGGCACCAAGAAACTAGACCATCCCGCAGGATGCCGGCTTATTCTGCACAATGAATATTGATGCGCAAACCCCTTGAGACGCGGACGTCGTTCAAACAGATTTGCTCGTTGCTGGTGCACTGGAGGTCCTTCGCAGATAGCACGGATGCCCCCACCCCCCCACCACAATGACATCGACAACCTGGCCCTGTCCCAAAAGTATCCCTCAAGGGCTTGAAGAGGTTGAACAACAAACCGCAGTGACCGACTCTACGCTGCCACCAGCAGCGTGCGGCACCCAATCCATTCCTCTTTTGGACTGAATCGACCCCTAGCGTTTGGGATTGCGCCTGCTGGTGTTGATGCGTGTGCCCACATCAAACCAAAAGGAGAAGCGATGCAAAAGCTTATGCTAAAGACGGGGACGCGGACGCCTGCCGAAGGCCCCCTCGCCGTCATAGCGCCAATGTGAAGGTTGGCTGAACACGGTGTTGCATCCGTAGTCATACGGTTGGCGCATGACTGGGTCGCAAGGTGGGGCCTTCTTGATGTCATAAGCCACCACTGGGTCTGACGCGTGTTGCAAGACTGCTAGACGGCGGATTGGGAACTCATGCGGATCTGGCGTGTGACGCATCACAACTCCTTCCAGCTGAAGCAGGCAACACCCGTGATTGGATCTGAGTGTGGCAAAGCGATAGCGGGCGCTGGCAAGCGGAGACTGAACTTGCCTGACAATCTATCCGTCATGCTCTGCGGGGTGAGTGCTGCGGAGACTGCACTCGCCTGACAATCTATCCGTAAACATTTTGTACCTGAACGACTGGACCGACCAATCTAGGCGTGGGAGCCGGGGAGACTCTCTGACTGACTAAATTGGCCCTGCCTTAAATTATGTGGGAACCTAAATTTGCCATTGCAAAAAAATCGTGCGAGCTGTGGTCTGTCTGACAGGGAACTTGCTTCTCACCAGCCAATGGCACTAAGCACTGAGCGGTCGTCGTTAGCTTTCGGTTCCGCTGCCAGGCACCGCCCGTCAGAACACACCATGCGTGACTACGGCGACAGACTTACAATCTGGATGCCCTGAATGTCGATCACAGATCGCTGCTGCATGGTTGTTGGACGCCACTTCGCGAAATGGTGCGGCGGTGAAGTCGCTTGGCGCGTCCGGTGTCAGTCCGGTGTCAGCATAAAACTCCCAGTAAGGGTGGCCATTGTGACATTCCTTGGCAGCCTGGTGGCCGTCAACGAAAATCGGATGTACCGAATGCGCAGGGCCAGCCGCTGGATCATCCGGCCATAAGCACCAAGCGACCCCAGCGATCCCAGTTGTGGAGGAAATCCATGGCAGCAGGAGTAGAAAATGCGTTTTTTTACTCAAAGGAGAGGGAAACACAGTTTTCGCCACAACGGGAAAACCCGGGACCTTGAAAGGAACGAACCCTGCCGTGACTGCGACCTCTCCCGTACTTGGGGTCAACACGCGCAACGCGCGCCTTTTTGACGTGAGCCAAAGCGACATGTGATCATGTCGTGCTTCAATCTTGACTTGTTTGTACAACATGCAACTGAACATCTGACTCATGAACCTCTGGGCCATAAATGTCATCGTGACAATTGACTCCCCCCTCATTGACGGCACCGAGGGAGTGTCTTGGGCGCATTGCCACGCCAACTTGAAGTCAAGTTTACATCACAACGACTGACGCAAGTTATTCAAGCATCGCCCAGGCACTTGCACACTTTTGGAAACTTTGTGGACATGTCGCAGCGCATCATGCAGCTGCTTTAGCGGATGCACTTTCACGCACATCTTCAAGCTTATCAGGAATATCAACACGGATACCGAGCAAACTAATGGCATGATCCCGTTTGTTGCGAGGAAGTGCTTTAGTGAAAATATCTGCTGAGCGCATGTCCGTCTTGACATACTCTATGGAAACGTTGTCACTTTCGAGCTGCTATGCAACGCAAGCAAGGTTTACCTTGTGCGTGCGTTGTACACAACGTAGCTTGGGTGAGAAACCCTTCTTTGCTACCAGGATGGTCGCCTGATTATCCTCATGGATTTTAAGGTGTATTGGCCTACCGGGCGTCAGCTCCCAAAGGCTGTAGTGCCTCCTGGTACAGGGAGTACGCAAGGGACACTATTTCCGCCTCCGTAGTGGAACGAGAAACCGAAGTCTGACATTTCGACACCCACGCAAGAGGAAAGTGTGTATGAGGGCCACTCAGCACCAAGAAACCACCGCATGTTGATTTTGCATCTTTTTCACCTGCGAAGTCTGCGTCCACATAAAGAGAAAGATGGAGTTCATCAGTCCAGGTCGCACAGTCAAAAACCGAAAAGTTGCGTGATGCCACCACTCCATTCTGTCCCACAGGTTCTTTAGATTTCGCAGATGACGCATTGGAGGGTGAGCCTGGTTTCGCCGCATGCCGCGCGCTGATGAAGGCTTTATGGTTAGGACGACTAGCACGTCCCGACTTGGTCAAGCCGATTGGTGACCTTGCTTCATATGTGCAGACGTGGTCTGAGGACTGTGATAAACAATTACACAGGCTTGTCTGTTACATTAATAGCACGGTGAACAGTACCCTTGTTTGCACAGTACAGGACTCAAGACACAACGCAACCGTTTGGCGAGCATAATCTGGCATGTCGAACGCCATGCCCTGAAAATGAGTTTACCCATTGCGGCATTGAGCTCGGGCTCATTTGGGTCCTTTGGGGCGTCTATCAAGAGGTGATTCCTGCCTAATACCCGGCATATGTCTTCTGGGGGTTCTATGTCCACTAGACGTGTCAACTTTTCCCAACAGTCATTGTGAAGGTGGCTGGGGCCGGCCAACGTCAAGTCATCGACGTATGTCGAGAGAAGTAACCCGGACTCCTTGAACCAGAAGTTTCCGGGAAACTCACGCCCTCCAAGTTCACTGATGAAACCTTTGAGGTGCGCCTCCCAGAGTCCGCCAGCGTCAGGATGCCCATAAAGGGCTTTAAAGAGAAAATTGCAGGTTTCACAAAACGCTCGCGCCACCACTTCGGCCGGAGCTCAGGCGGAAGTGTAGTCCAAGCTTGGCACTTGGACTTCAACAGCGCTTGTACATAAGCCTTTATAGCGTCTGCTCTTGTAGTGAAATTCCCTGCAGGAGGTCCGTAAGCGAGACAGTGATTAAGACCTTGTGCACTTGTCGGAGTTGCTCCCAGTTCTTGGTATACTGCCGCTGCACCATGTGCGTCTTTCGCACAGTCTCCTCGGTAGACTATCCTACCTTTCATCTTTTGAAGGTGTTTAGCGAGTTCTGCGAATTTGACGGATGCTAACGACATCAGCTGTCCGAAGTACACTTTCACACTGGATCGTCGCGCTTCAGCAGCGACTTGATCATACTCACGAACGGAATTGAGATCCCAAACACCGGCTTTTTCAAGGCCTGTGGCTTCAAGTCTAACGGCTTCGAGGGCGTCAGGGGAACCTAGCATCTTGGCACGTGACAAGAGTCTGGTCACCATTGCGCTGATTTCAGGATTCTTTTCCTCCTTGCTTTGTCCTAGAAAATTGATGAGATTTTCAACATCAAGAACTTGTTCAACGATGTTATGACACTTTTCATCGGACTCAACAGCTACACCTATATCCTCCAGTCCAGAGAGAGGGGATATGTGCTTTAGTTGCTGCTCACATTCCCGGTGGTCAAGAGGCAATGGCACTTGAACAGGCATCGCTGGCACAACGGGTCCACTTGTTGGATACAGCGCACGAGCAACAGTATGAAACATGCTTCTGGGTAGAAAGCAGTCTTTGCTGTCTTGTTACCTGCTGCAAGCAAGCGGCTAAACCCTTTTTCATGCGGGCACTGAAATGCTGTGCGATTTATCCGTGACGTGCGCTAAGCGGATTGCGCAACCGAAAACGCAAAAACGCGAAAACTGCGAAAACGCGAAGACCGCGAAAACTGCGAAAGCGGCGAAAACCACGAAAACCGAAAAAACTGCGAAAACTGCAAAAACCACGGAAACCACGAAAACCGAGAAAGCCAAGAAAACCGGAAAATCGAGAAAACTGGAAAACCGAGAAAACAGGGAAATCAAGAAAACCGAGAAAATCGGAAAACTCAGAAACCGAGAAAACCGGGAAAAAAAAACGAGAAAACCGAGAAAACCAAGAAACGCGAGAAAACCGAGAAAACCGCGAAAGAGGCAAAACACGCGAAAACCGCGAAAACTGTGAACACGCGAAACCCACGAAAGCGGTGAAAACCGTGCAAATGCCAACTTTCGCGCAACGTAACCCTTTGAAAAGGTGGCAAACTCATCCCATATCACGTCTATCCATTTATCTATCTTTGTATCTTTATCTTTCTATCTATTGATCTATCCATTTGTCTATTTATCTATCTCCATCTCTATCTATTTCTACCTATCTCTATCTATATCTACCTATCTCTATCCTATCTCTATTTATCGATCTATCTACTGATATCCATCTATGCATCTATCTATCTACCTATCTATCTATCGATCTATTTTCTTTCTATCTACATATCTATCTATCCATCTATCGATCGATCCATCTATCAGTTTGTCTATCTATCTATCGATCTATCTATCTATCTATATATCTGTCTATTCACTGTATCTATCCTATCTATCCTATCTAGACATCATATCTAGAGAATTGTTCCCTATTTAACTCATTGTATCTTTATTTAGATTGTCCATCTGATTTATCTGATAAATACCATGTCTTATCTACCTTGTCTATCATACCATATCTCTACTATTTCCCTTATCTATCTTATCTACCTTATCGTATCTTATCATAGAATCTTGTCTTGTGCCGTCTTAGCCGATTTTATATCCCATCGTATCCTAGCTTGTCCTGTATTATTCTATCTGCTCCTATCGATCCCATTTTTGCCTATCGCACCGTGTCTTCTGTCTTAGCTATCTATCCTATGTGTCGATCGATCTATTTGTCTAAATCTCTCTGTCTTATCCTGTCTTACCCTACCCTCATCCTGTCTTATCCCATCTAACCCTATTTTCCTATCGTATCCTACCTTCTTTTAGCGTACTCTATCTTAACCTGTGTTGGCATACTATCCTATCTTATCCTGTCTTATCCCGCCCTATCCTCTC